CTTATATACTGCTTATCATTTTACTGCTCTTCTCACAAAGTTTTCATATTTGATTAGTATTTGAAAGAGTAGCAATGGAAAGAAATCCTATTAACTTTAAATGGAACAAAGGATATCATCTACTATCAAATCCCATTTTGCATTGTCATGATAAATACCAGCAGGTTTGTTTTTGAATGGATAGTAAAAATACATAAAATTTCAGTCATTATTTTTAAAACTGATGAGATTGACATGGTTGCTTGTACGGACATTTTTATTTCTCTTCATTAGATAAATGAATGTTCCTTCTATAAGCCCAACTCTTTTTATAAACCTCTTTATAAGGTTTCCAAATCAGTTATATGTTAATGAGGCAACATTTATCACTCTTTAGTGTTAGAGCAGAAAACTGAAACATAATCTATTTTCCCCCTCAGGATCTGGCATTTTAAATAAATACCAAAGGCTGGATAACTTAAGACTCTGACTTTTCTAATATAAATTTAAAACTTTACTAACATAGTTTCATTATAATAATATGATTTAGATTTAGTTTACTTGCTTTTAAAGATTACATTAATAATAACGGTGAAAAATAATATAATTGGCTTTTAATTTTTTTGTGTGTGTGGAGGATGGAAGGTTATTTTAACAATCAGCTGTTGATAACGACCAGATTGGTATCAGTTGCCAGCGAACAAGGCAAAGCATATGCACGAAATACTCTTGATTATTTGATAATAAATCATTTTAATGATCATACTCAAAATTATGAAATGAGGATGGCACTGATGTGGAAAATAACAAAGGCACAGGCTCCCCAGATCTGTTATCCATATGTGCCTGGCTTCTAGAGTTTCCAGAGTCATCACTTTAATGCAAATATTTCCTCTGTATTGCCCAGTCTAGCAAATAAAGCCAGTTGATCTGGTCAAGTTCATATAGATGTATTACTCAAATTTATTATAAATATGTATTACTTTAAATGTTCTGTTTTTTAAAATGATTGACCGTTTGAAACTCAGGTTTTCTTGGTGTCCAACGTAAATGCTCAACAATAATGGAAAGATTAGTTAATTTATGATATGTTCATTAGCAAACTATCAATGTAGCCATTGTATATAAACATATGTGAAGAAGGGACTTGAAACTGAGGAGGACATACCCGTACTGGATCTGTCTACTAGGTGGAAAAGCCTTTAATAGAAATTAAGCCATCAGGGATTTAAGGAGAAGAATTTGCAATCTGAGTTTAAGACTTAAGAGGAGAAACTAGTTCACAGGGTCTGGAACATGGCTATGGGAAGTGGATGTCATCACGACTGGGAAAGGCAGGCAATAGTGAGAGCAGGTAATCGAGTGTGTTGTATATGTGAACTTGAGAAGCCTTAAGATGCGGCAGGAGTCGCAGTGAAGAATAAGACCTTTAGCTTGGTGCCAAAACATCTAGAGCATATTATCGGAGTAGGTCAGGGGAGGCGAGGAGGGGAAAGGAGGTGAGTGCACTTAGAGCCCTGAGGACGGCTGACAACACCCAAAAGGGAGAGAGAGTGATAAATGTGAAAAGCTTGAGAGTAGACAGTGAGGTTTTTTGTTCTTTGGTCGTGGTAGTTGTTGTTGCTTCTAAAGGAGTACTTCCTACTGGTTTGAAATGGTTTGAAGGTATCCACTGGAGCCAAGAGAGTGCCAGCAGCTTCTTCCAGTTGCTGGTGCTTAGACTGGGGGAGAAACGGTGGTTTCTCCTATAAATGTTCGTGAGAACAGCAGGAGGCAGAGGATTTGGACAGCTAGAAAAGGATGATAAGACGTTTTAGGCAAGGGGAGTAGTAGGAGCAAAAAGATAATAATTTGATCAGATTGAGGTTGAAAGGAGCAGCGGGGTGGGAGATGATCAGAGAACAAAACTGGGACCTGGTGCGGTGAGCTTTGAATATCACTTGACCTCTAAGAGAGTGGTTCTAACCTATCCCCACCCCTGCCCCTGCACTGTAATTCACCTGGTAGAAAAAGCAGAAACTCATACGTGAGACATGCTCCCATCGATATCACGGTTCAATCCCATTGAATAGCAGCTCTGTCCAAAAGGTCCACATGGATACTGACCACTGAGAAGATCGATTTTAAAAGGAATACAACTTCCAGAAAAAATTTCAGAAGCCTTCTGAAGATTGAGCTAGGTGACATGACAAGGGTCATATGGCCAACAAGTGGTTTATTTAGTGTTCAAATGCAATTTTCATCCCAGGAATTCTTCCTACTCTATCTGTTCTAAATGCAACATATCAATTCTGTTTATCTTTCTCTCCCTCTTTTCTTTCTCCCCCTCCCTCTCTTTTCCCCTTCCTTCATTTAGTCAACAAATAGTTGGGAAACATCTATAATTGAACATCATGTTTTCATTACATTGAAACTATCATCTTTTATGCTTGATTTTCACCCCAGATCTTTAGTCTTCCTCTTTAAAATAGACTTGGTACCTTAATGATAAAATAAGAAATTAATATATAGTAAGGAAGATTTGGGAATTTTCCTCTGCTGATGAATTACTATCGTCTGTCATTCTTGGATATGTTATCAGTATTTAGTAGCTGTAATATATTTGCTTATCCAACTCCATGGAATGGAAGAAAAAAAAAAACTTTTAGGACAGAATCCTGGAAAATAATATTAAGAACAAGGGTTTTATTGTGAATTATAATTTGACTACTCATGTAACCAAAAGAACAAATATTAGTATAACAAATAATCATCATTGCTCAGAATAGAAATATAGAGACTTAGTACTTTACAAAATTTCAAAGTGTCTAATGTGTCTCATAGATAGCTTATGGAAATGCATGATTCACATTCACAAATTATTTTTTAGTGTTTTTAAAAGTTGTGGTAAAATATATATAGCATAAAATTGATCATTTTGACTATTTTTAACTGTACTTTTCAGTGACATTAAGTGCATTCACATTGTTATGCAAATATCACCACTAACAATCTCCAAAACTTTTCCATCATCTTAAAGGGAAACTCTGTACCCACTAAACACTAGCTCCTTCCTCCTTTTCCCCCAGTGCCTGGTAACTACTATTCTACTTTTTGTCTCTGTGAATTCGACTAATCCAGGTACCTCATATAAGTGGATCATACAGTGTTTTCTCAGATGTTTTTGTGGTACTTTCAGATCTGGGCTATAGAATCGAGAGTCAATGTAACATCTGTCTGTGCTTCACATGAGAATGATAACCTGGAATCAAAGTGCTTTCCCCCCTTTTAACTATAAAGTTCAAAATTCTTAGGCCCAAACCTATATCTCTTCTTTGTTCAGAATAAAATTTAACCTCCTATACCGTTTGGAATTTTACTTACAGTTAAATCACATACTTTGAGCTGCAAAATGTGTAACAGTGATAATCCCTTTCCTAATGACCATCAGCTATGCCCCAAGCACCTTAAATACCTAATCTCATTTTATTCTTCACAAGAACTCCATGGAGTATGTGATGTCCCATTTTGTAAGGCTAGAAGTCAGGACTAGGAGACTTCAAGTAACTTGTTCAAGCCTCACAGCTGGTAAGAGCAACGTCAGGACCTGAACTCAGGTCTGTGGCTTGAAAGCTCGCTAATGCTCACTGCTGCTGACTGAACAGCAGTATGAAAAAAGATAAGAAACAGTGTCTTTTTCTGAACCCAACTTTCTCAAATATATAATTTCCAATATGTTTCTTCTGTGCAAAAATATTTAATGGTTATATTTGCCTTGAAGAAATACTCTAAGTAAATATTTTAAGTTGACCTCAAACACCAAGAATTATGCCTTGCTTGCCATAACGAAGAAAGAGAATTTACAATGAAGTAACATCATTGTGTTCATTTGTGAAAAACATATTGCAGCCAACTGTTTACTAAGTGCTCAGACTGTTGATAACTAATCCAGCCCTGCTGCTCTCCACAGACAATTTGCTTTGGATCAGATCAGGCAATTCAAAGAATACTAACTACAGTGAAACCCTTTTATATGAATTCCTGTTTGTTGCAGGGAAGAAAACCCCTATATACAAGGCTAAGGCACTTATCTCTGATTTTTGCTGAAACATAACACCTATTACCTAAGTTCAAGTTTATATTAGTCTGATGAGTTTTGACTGAACAAAATGGATAAAGGTGTATTTTGTGTGAAAAAAATATGTATTTCAGTGTTTATTGTACTGTCATGAATTATGTTAATTGTGACTTTTTAATTGAAAGAGCAGATGTGGAAGTTTTATTTAAAGCAGTATTTTCATGGAAATAAGTTATGTTGCTAAATGATTATTTACTGTCACAGAGATTCGTGCATTAAAAGGCAAATGTGTCTCTACTAGAAAGAAACCAAGTCTTTAGGAAGTCTTCATTATGTCAGGGGATTTGCTGTAACATGATATCATTGTATTTATGATTTTATGGTGTTAAAATGAATATTAAATGAAACAAAATTCCCAAGGATTACTCAGGAGGCAGCTAAGTACATAACATTTTATACAGATGGTTGGAAGGCACAATTTTGCTCCATCACTGCATCCATATCCTTGAACGATTTCGACTGAAGACAGCATTTCTTTGAATTTTTCATTAAACCAGACGTCTTGAAATATGAATTCCTTTTATGTTTCTGTGAGTTTTGGCTAAAAGAACCCCAGTGAATAAATCATACAATACTACGTGTCACCAGCACTTGTGAATATTTCTGCTTTGTTATTCTATTCTCAGTAGAGCACCATTGATTATCAAACTCAGCGGAGAGCATTTTATGGTCATATATCTCCATTAGCTCCTAGTTTGACTACCATAGATTTTTCTGGTTAAGCCTGCATTATGTATTAGGAAGCCTATCTCTTCAATACAAAGTTTGATTTCATTTTTCTAAGCATAGAACTCTTATTATGTATTATGTATAAAGATTCTTATCTTTTATATGTAAAAATAGGCTGCACTGTCTTTGTGTAAAACTAAAATATATGCCATCTTTTTTTTTTCTCGATTCACAGTTAGCATATTACACTATGAAGATGAATCTCTACAATGCAATGGCTGTCAGGGTAAATATTTCTTCACTTGTTAAACAAATGAAAAGTCAATTGTGCCCTGAATTCGCTTTTAATAAAATGAGCAAACCAGAATAATGCAAATTTGATTGATATGCTAATGGTAAAGAGAGAAAAGAGTACACAGTTAAAAAGTTAGTTGTACTAAATAGTCTTGGCAGTGTTAAAAATTAGAGTAAAATGTAAAACATGTAATCAATGCTTATGTTTTAGAATGTTAAATATCTCTGAGCCATGACTAGAGAAAGACTGTAAATATTAATGAAGCAATGTATTAGTTTCCATATGTCATATAAAATATGGTGATAAATAGATGAGCATGGTTCTGGAATATAAGATTCCTGCCCAATACAAATCAATTAGAAATTATTCATATGATTTCATAGTAATAAAGTCAGTTTCCAGCTTAGAAGTTTTATTTCTATCATTTCTGTGTTCACTTTTATGTGTTATTTGCCTAATAGGAAGCTGAATTTAGTGATTATGAGGCTTCCTTGGTTTCTGCTGAGATTTGGGGAAGAGCCACGACAAAAGTATAATTTCTTTTGTATCAGACAATATGATTTTAGCTTAATTGTGAAGCTATTATAAATGGGGAAATTACTTAAGTGAATTTCATTAACGTCCTTAAAACCTATGTTTTAATGTTACCGTATTATATTCTCTCTCATTAATCTATTAATTCTTCTGCTAATAACAGATTTTATTTTGGGTGAAGAAAGATAGTAAAATACCTTCTGAAAGTCCTGTGTTGAACTAAGGCAAGTTGAATTAACATTATTTTGCTGCCTTACACCGCTTTGGGAAGGGACCTTCCTATGCAGATGTGAGTGTGTTGGAGCCCAGCCCAGGGCAGATCTCTAGTATCTGTCCACCTCTCAGTGGTTCTGTAGTGTAAGGGAAAGAAAGAAGGGGAAGAAGTAGATCTTTTTTGCTTCTTTTCCAGAGGCAGATACTCCAGATGCACTGGTCTGTATTTACCTTTCTTAGAAATCCAGTAATATAAGAAAATAATGTGGCTTTCCTCTTTTAATGGGAATGCTTGAGTCTGGGAATTTAGGAGATTCTGATTCTCTGTGCATCTCTGCCAAAGACTTAACCTCTGAGCCTAAAACAGTGTTAGATATTTTTCTTTTCTGCATGCCCTTTGTCAGATACGTCTGCAAAGTAAAAAACGATAGATGACGGAGGACCTAAAGCAGTTGACGGAGGGAGGCTTAGACATCCCCACAGATCACCGTAGGTCACCAAGGGAGACAGAGGCACAGGAGTCAGGGTTAGAAAAATGCATTTTCTTGTTTATTATTTAGCCCCCAATTTTGTATTGAATTCTGATCTGGCTTGAATCATTAAGATTCCTTTTACCTTGACTGGGCATATCTAAGAAACTCGTATCAAACCAAGCCATTGAGAAGGCAGTGTTTTTGACTTATTCTAACATCATACTAAAAGCTACATTTCCTAACGTTACTGAACCAAACTTGGGTCCTCTTGCCCATACACAGTAAAGCCAATCTACTGACACCGGGTTGTGGTGAAGGAAAGTGGAGCATTTATTGCAGGCACCAAGCAAGGGTTCCCGGTAGCTAGTGCTTAAAAGGCCCAAACTCCCTGAAGGCTTTCAGGGAAAGGTTTTTAAAGACAGGGTGAGGGAGGGGCATTGTGGGGTGTGTGATCAGCTAGTAAACATTTTTCTGATTGGTTGGTGGTGAGGTCATCAGGAGTCAACATCATCAACCTTCTGGTTCCAACCGGCCTGGGGTCTCCATGCTTGCGGGCAACATACAGTTAACTTCTTCTGCTTGGTGGTGGTTTCAGTATCTGCAAAACAGCTCAAAGCATACGGCTCAGAATATTATCTATAGTCCTTGAGGAGGAACTAAAGGTCCTTAACTTTGTTTAATGGCTAAACTATTATTATTTTGTCTTGCTTGACTGTTTTCCTTTCTTTCTGCATTTTCTCATTTCTCTGATTAAATTTACTCTTTGGAACTTGGGGAAGGCCTAGGAGACTAAAACTTCTCTACAGACAAGAGGCAGATGGAGGGCGTGGGGTGTGGGTCAGTTCTGGGAAGGCCCCATAGGGTCCTGCTCGGTCACACCTAATAGTATTGCCCAGGGTTACCTCATCTTTGCTTAAAATCAGCGGACAATGTTGAACTCTCCCTAAGTCCTGTGATCCTAGAAAACAGCAAAGTTTAAAGCCCTCCCCCCCGCAACTCTTTTGTGTTTTGGAAATAGCTTACTGCAAAGAAATCCACACTTCCCCATATGACTTGGCTGTGGATGGCCCCTTGTTTACCTACGACAAGGCCAGACACAGTCCCCCAAATTCCCATTTTTTTAACCTCAGAAATGATTAGCTGAACTGCTTGTCTCCATTGGTCAACTGGAAAAAACATGTTTATTAACCAGACTGTGCTTAAGCTTCTCTCCTTCCCCTAAGTCCCTGAACTTTAGCCAGCATATGGCATCTCCTTAGTACCTCCTCCTGAGAATGGGCTTCAGGGTAAAGCATTCTCAGATCTCCTATATGATTATGCCACCCTTTTATCCCATTCCCCACATCAGGTTCTTTCCAGCCTTGTTCACACCTTCCTATTAAAAGGAAAACTCTTTTTGCCTAAGTTTCACCATGTTTGCAAATCTTATGGTCAAAGATTCTCCTTATTGCAATAGTCCACCTCCATCGCTGTAGGAATCACTCACCCCCTCTTTCTTGCAGTAGTTCTTTCAAATCAAGTCTCTCCTTGCTAGGTCCAGATTTGTTTTCTTTCTTTTTTTAAAAAAATTATTTATTTATTTATGGCTGTATTGGGTCTTTATTGCTGCGCGCGGGCTTTCTCTAGTTGCGGCGAGTGGGGGCCACTCCTTGTTGCGGTGCGCGGGCTGCTTATTACAGTGGCTTCTCTTGTAGCAGAGCACGGGCTTCAGTAGCTGTGGCTTGTGGGCTCAGTAGTTGTGGCTTGCGGGCTCTAGAGCGCAGGCTCACTAGTTGTGGCGCACGGGCTTAGTTGCTCCGCGGCATGTGGGATCTTCCTGGACCAGGGCTGGAACCCATGTCCCTGCATTGGCAGGCGGATTCTTAACCACTGCGCCACCAGGGAAGCCCCATATTTGCTTTTTATTTGACACATTCCAGGAGAGAACAGTAGAGGTGGGAATGCAGTGGTCATTAAAGCAAAGGGAAGGAAGACTTGAGCATTAACCTAGAGATTGAAATGATCCACCAAAGACACTCAGGAATTTTTGGGAGCCTCTGTGGAGATGTAAATACTACTGTGGGAAATTTATAATAGAAACCCTTCTCTACAAAGATGTTCAAAGACTTCCTTCAGAGGTTTGGATGAGTTAATTTGGTAATTTGGTAATTTGGTAATGAGGAATCAGGAATGAGGCTTGCTGGCACAGAGGCTGATGTGATTACCTAACAAAGATTAATTTTTAGCATTGAGTGATCACATGACCGGAACTGAACTTATTTGTAATGGACTTGGACAAATCTATTTGTAAGTGGATTTTTTGCAAGGTGGTGCTCTGAAAATTTGTCTCTGCGGGAATGAGAGGCTGAAGAGACCAATGTGTGGTCCACATACCTTCATGGCATACACATCTGAAGATTACGACCCCAGCTCGATACCAGCAGCTGAAGTTTTACTTCTACTAGCCACAACTCTGCCTTTTCCGTTTTTAAGCTATGAAGTAACTTTGCTCAAAAGAGCTACCCTTTAAGTGATTAAAATGTGGGTGGCAGTGAGTGTACAGGTGGAAGAATTTCTAGGAGTAACAGATAACTACCAGAAATCTATATGGCCAGTAATATTCAGACAGATATATTTTTATATATGCACCTAAATCATACAGTAGAAAATAAAAAACTTTTGTCTTACTCTGCCTCATATACTGAGTCAATTGCAAATTATGTATTTGACTATTGACTCCTAGCATGACAAGTTATATTCAATTGTCAAAGAGGCTAGTGGAGCATTTCTGAAAAGAGAAGGAATTTAAAATTTTCATTGTAGCTAATCCATTCCTAAATAGATGTCACTTTTTTATAATGAAGAATAAATGATATGTATGTGATTATTTAATGTCATAGATATTCATATCTTGATTTGCTGCCTTTATTTTTTAAAAGGTCACCTTTTCTCTAAAGATTTTACCATCCCCCCCCACCCGTGTAGAATTGATCACTCTCCTTTTTTTAATGTCCCTATTTTACCATCAACATACTTCTGTTGTAGAAGCTGTAACAATTTATTATCCTTACTAATTTACATGCCTGTGTCCACCCTCCCCCCCACCCCAAACACTGTAAGTCTCTTGGGGCCCGGATCCTATCTTCTTAGTCTTTGTATCTACAGTTCCTGGCTTATACTAGGTTGTTAAATAAATGTCCCTGAATAAATCAATGAACATTGGCTTGTGCTTTTTTAAACAAGGAGTAAAAAAGTTGTTTGTTTTAAATATTCTTTGTTTAGGTCCCTTGGCGGCCTTGATGGAAATTATTTAAGCCTTTGCTGGTAGATCTTTAAGGCTTTTTTGAGTGTCCGACTAGGCTAGGTGGTGTGGATAAACTGGACATCGGAAGGTAATATTTGGTCAGTGCAGTTCATATGTGAATGGAAGACCTCATGAGCTTTGTGACATTGCCAAAATGTTGTAACAGGTACAAGCTTGAAGGAGGCTTGCGATGATATCAGCTGCTGTCAGAACCCACAGTGTGCCTGTACAAAACCCCTGCGAGTGATTTGCAGCTAGGCCCGTGACAGTCAATTAATACAGCAGTAAATTGCTCAGTAAATTTTTATCTTAGCTCCTGGGGCCCTATTCCTCCTGTTTCTCTGTGCGACACATTATTGCCTTTTTGGTCTTTAATTTGAATTTACTCCAGGTTCTGCTTTTCCTCCAGCATCTTGGCTGCTGCTCTGTGGATCTCGTTTAAATTTGGCCCCCCAATTTTTTTTGCAGTTCTCACTCTTTGAACAGCT